CCCCTGTTGCTGCTGCCCAAACGTCGATGAAATGAAGCTTTGCACCGCCGACGTTCCCAGACCGAAAGCCGTCTTGAAAGCCGCGCCTTGCACCACGTTTTGTACCTTCTTCTTTTGGTCGTTGCTGCATTTGTAGTATCCGACAATATTCGCCCCGCTCAGAACCAAAGCCACGAAAACGATCACCAACCATTGCACGGAGAATTTAAGGAGGGCCACCAAGAAGAAGACCGACCATACAATGGGCGTCACGTACAATCCAGTCCAAAACAGGCGAGCATCCGCGGGGTGGATTTCTCCCGGGTTCTCGACCGATTCGAACACCCACTCATTGCTGCCATCGTCCCGCACGTTGTTCCACCACCGGAGGCCGACGAGGAGGCGCCCCGTGACATTCTTAACTGTCCAGAAATCGAAAGCCAGCAACAAGATGCAAACCACGCAGATAAAGACGAAATTGGAAGAGAAAAAGCCACCGAAAAGGTAGAAAAAAATGGCTAGAGCCTTGAAGACGAAGTGAAATGCTGCCGCGACGGGATGCTATGGTGGGGTGAAAAGGCAAGAGAAAGTCCGACATTAGGGATTTAATCAGTAGGAAGCACGGAGCTTTAAGACTGCAACAAATAGAACGCAAAATGCGCAACCAGCACCAAGGATGAGAGGTGGGAAACAGAAGGGGCCGGGCCTGATGCAGGCTTGTGAGTAAGCGTCCTCACTTTCTCCAAGTTCCACTTAGCCCTTCAAATCCCCGCAGCAACTCGAAAAGGTATGTATGCATCTCTTGATGATTGCGAACACGTACCCTGGACTGTTTGATGAAAGCCAGGGCGTCGCCGGCGGGGGGAGGAGGCGGCCCGGAGGCCGGGGCGGCGCCCATGGGGGCATACGGGGTCTGTCCTGAGGCTTGGTTCGAAACTGAGGTCTCAGGGACCCTGATAAACTATAGATAGGAATCCAGGGACGATGGAGTGAGGTCGTAAGGGCGTGAATGTATTTAAATCGAAGAATAACGCGATTTCACGAAGAAGGAAGTCAGGACGTGAAAAAGGTCCCAGGAAACCCATCATGTCCGCAACAACCTCACGAGCCTGAACATGAGACACTGTTCACTTCGTGTGTCAATCACCTGTAATTCGTCGTCTCCTTGGGCGTGCCCTTCCATCATGATGACTGAAGGGAATGAATTGGAAGCGTTGGGCGGATGTTCTAACTCGAACCTTGCGTCTGTTACTTCCCCTCTCGTCTAGGGGGGCCCGGGAAGGTGGGTGGGGAAAGAAATTAGGTGATGCGAGCATGCTTCTGCAAGCGACCGAGCGAAAACCATATTCAAAGCCCAGTCTATCCAGGACTGCCCGCTCAGCGCAGAAGGCGCACGTGCCCCATGGGCACGGCGGGCGTGAGAAAAGAGCAAGCTGGGGGAGGGGCGGGGAGACGCGAAGGGGGAGGATCGGTTCGTCTGCCTTTTCCGGCTCGAGTGAAAACGCCTGGTTTGGGGCCCGCCTCTGTGGCGTGCGCGCGGGATTTGGCATACTTTCTATGCCTGCATGAGTTGATGGCACACATTTGAGCGCTTGAACGGATGTTCTGGGCCTCGTTGTTACCGTAAAGGCTAAAGGAGTACTGCGGGTGGTCAGGGGCCCTGCTCATCATCATGCGCAAAGGGTCGTTCATGGCCTTGGACCACAGCCATCCTGTGCTTTGATTTCTCCCGTCCCGTTGTCTTCTTGCACAAGCTCCTCTCAGCCCTGATTTATTTTTTATTCACAGGGCACTTGCCCCGTTTGCCTTCAGGTTGCCTTGTTCAGTGCGGTTGCAACGTGGGCAAGAGTATCGAAGGCCGAGGCCCTGCTTGTCAGCGCCCCTTCCTCTTTGAGACAGTCTCTTTACGCATTCCGCGATAAGACGGTGTAGAGCGGACAATGATAGTTAACAGCGGCACAGGTGCTGATGGTCGTAGTGGCGGCGGCATTGGCAGCGGCGGCAATGGGGAAGAACAACAAGCGGCCTCGCTCAGTCACCCACGTCAAGGGTATCAAATGTCCAGCCCATCCGTGTCTTCCACACCGCAAAGCCAGCCTCATTCCTATGGTCACGGAGCTGGACAGTCTTCACAGTCCTCGCACCACTACCAGCCGCATCAGCACCCCTCCGGTCCTCAATACCCACCCACGCACAGGGGCGTGCTCTATTGTTCCACACGAGGGGGGTGTCGGGATGTGACATTTGAGGAGGTCGTCATGGGCGGTCTGGCTCCCGACAAAGGACTGTATGTGCCCCAGGAACTCCCTTACATACCTCCTGAACAGCTTGAAAAGCTTCGTGACGCTTCTTTCGTGGAATTGGCAAATTACATCATGCGCCTTGTCGTCGGGCCTGAGGACATCCCCCCGGAAAACTTGCGAGTCTTGATCGAGTGCAGCACCAAAAATTTCCGGGTGCACGAAGTGGCCCCTGTGCGGAAGGTGGGCCCCACTTGGGTGCTTGAGCTCTTCCACGGTCCCACATTTGCGTTCAAGGACGTGGCATTGCAGTTCCTCGGCAATGTCTTCGAGTACTTCATGGCGAAGAAGAAAGGCGACCCGGACGTAAAGCTGACGGTCTTGGGGGCCACATCGGGGGACACAGGATCGGCGGCGATCGAAGGCTTGAGGGGTAAGAAGAATGTGAATGTCTTCGTGCTCTACCCCAAAGGAAGGGTGAGTGAGGTCCAGGAACGTCAGATGACAACAGTCTTGGACAAGAACGTGCATTGCATCGCGGTTGAGAACGCCACCTTTGACGACTGCCAAAGCATCATCAAGTCCGCTTTCCAGGATAAAGAGTTCCGCGAGAAAGTCTGTCTTGGGGCGGTCAATTCGATCAACTGGGCCCGGGTCCTGGCGCAGGTCACCTATTATTTCTTTGCCTACTTCCGCGTTTTGGCTCAAAACGAGCGGGCCATGCGGAAAGAGCAGCAGCAGCAACAACAACAGCAACGGGAAGGTAATGAGGGTGGGCGAGGAGGCGTCTCGCCGGTGACAGAGAGCAAAGCGACGGGGAGCGGCGGGTCTGGGAAGGACGGGGGTGCGTCGGATGGAGGTGAGGAGGGTGGCGCCCCCGCCACGAGCTCCGGTGGGATGCCCAACAGCGGGGGTGGAGGGAGGGAAGGGGGAAGGGAGGGACATGCTGGGAGTAAGCGGTCGAGGAGCCTCCCCAAGATGTCTTTCTCCGTGCCGACGGGCAATTTCGGCGACGCCTTGGCTGGATACTACGCCAAGGCCATGGGGCTTCCCATCGACAAAATTCTGATCGCCACCAACGAGAACGATATCTTGCACCGGTTCTTTTCCAACGGCAAGTACTGGCGGAGGGAGGTGCACCCGACGTTGTCGCCCTCGATGGATATCGCCATCAGCAGCAATTTTGAACGTCTCCTCTATCACTTGGCGGGGCGGGACCCGGACTTGCTGCGGGAATGGATGGAGGAGTTCGAGCGCACCGGCCGACTCACCTTGCCCCCGCCCACCCTCGCCAAGGCACGCGAAGACTTCGTATCGTGCCGGGTGGACGAGCCGGTTATGTTGGAGACCATGCTGTCTTTCCTCCGCGAGCACCATTACCTCCTCTGCCCGCACAGTGCGGTGGGCGTCGCCGCGGCGAAGGGACTGGATATGTTGGATGCGCACACCGTTTGTCTGGCCACAGCCCACCCGGGAAAATTCCTGGACGCCACATTGAAGCACTTGCCAGTGGAGGTGGCAGAGGTGGAGGAGATCGAGGAAGATATGCCCACCCAATTGAGAGAGCTCGATCACCTCCCCACCCGATCTGTAACCTTGCCGGCGAGCGCATTTTATGTGCAGAAATACATCCTGCAAACCCTTGAAGGGAAGGACAACCAAGCCTTGTTGCGGTGGCTGGAGATGGCCGGCTTGATCTGGGGGTACGGAGACGGAAAACTCGGACGGAGAAGACGACGGTGGTCGATGGCGGTGGCGGTCGCGGTGCTTGGGACCGCGGTGGGGGTCTGGGTGGGGGCGAGAAGGGCGGCCGCGGGCGGTGGGAGAGGAGTCCTCTCCTAGGGAGGGTGGGTGTGGGAAGAGATAGGGAAGGCCTTGAGGCATGTATGAGTAGACAAGCAGGAGGCGTCCGGCAATCGTCGCATTTGACCATGCGTAAGCGCGTGAGGGGCGGACGGGAGAGATGTTTTCGAGGGGGGACCAGAGGTGGGATGTGGGGCGTGCAGGTCGTATTAGCCTCCCTGTCCTCATGTCTGTGCTTTATGCAAATATTTGAAATCTTGGTGGCGACGGGAGGGCGGCGGAGATAGGCCGGAGCGGACAGTATTGAGGTGGTGGAAGTAATTACGTGGTATTAGCACGAAGGCTGCGCCGTGGATCGTGGGGTCAGTCTGATGCGAGCCCACGCCTGTCATTCCACGGGCAATGCGAGTAATATGACTGCATACAAAAAATAAGCGAGTGGAGGACACGAAACAGCTCGGGCTAGTCTCCAAGGGTTTCTTAACGGTGTTTTCGACGTTTCTTTCTCCGGACCATGGCGGTCCATTCCACCTTCTTTGTTCCCTCTCTGCCCAGTACACCCCTCCAGCGACGCGTCACTGCATTCCCCCCCGCCCTCGCTCTCCTCTAATTACCATGCTGCACACTTTCATGCCGCAGCTTCTTCCCTCCCGCCCTCCCCATGTCCTTCAACGCCTTCCTAACCCGATTTGTACGACTCTCGGATCCGTCTCGAGGCTCCCTCTCCGCCACCTCCATGGCCTCGTCCTCCTTCCCTTGCCCCCGGTCAAACTCCTCCCGGAAGGTCAACGCGACCTTTTTGAAATTGAAGCCCGTCCGGATGGGGATCACGACCCCCCTCGAGGTGGTGGACATGATGAAGCCCCCCTCTCCCCCCTCCCGCTCCGCCGGTCCCTGCCGACCCTCCATCTCCTCCTCGCTGGTTCGGCTCTTCAACGTCGTCCCTTTCCCTGTGATCAGCCGGGACCAATTGTCCACGATTTCCGTCAACTTAGCCTTGTTCTCCACCGTCTCTTCCGGGTGTTTTTTCAGTTGTTGGATCACCCTCCCAATCCCGCTCTCCTTCAAGCGATGCACCTCAACCCTCGCCGTCACCAAGTAATCGATCATCGGCGTCCGGACTGCGTAAAGGGGAAGGCTCTTGTCGGGCAAGGGCTGCAACCAGAGTCGAATCAAGCCAAGTACTTGCCCGTTGTCGACCAGGGCGCCTTGTAGATGCTTGCTTCGGAGCAAGTCCAGCACCTCGGTCAGCCGCTTCAACTTTTGCGTGGCCGGACGGTGCTGTAGCAAAGCCTGTCGGTCCTCTTTCGCCGCCGTTTCCATCAGGGTAATGAGGTGTTGCGTCATCTCTTGAACCTGCGCGTCCGGCAGCTTTTGGATCCGATTGCGCTTGAAAGACGCCAAGGCTTGCTCGACTGCCGTTAGCTCACGCGCCGCCCGCCGGGGCTCCGAGGCTGCCCCGGTCCCGGCTGCAGCCCCTCCATCCTCATCGGCCCCTTGCCCACGGTCTCTCACTTGTTTGCCTGCCTTCCCCCTCCCGTCTCTCCCTTTGTCTACCCCTTTGCTCGGGCGTTTCCCCTTTGTCTTCAGTCGGTGCTTCCTTTTCTCCGCCCCTCGTTTTCGCCGCCTTGAATCACCCTCATCGTCCGAGGACTCGCTTTCGCTACCACTACTGCTGCTGTTCCCATCACTGCTCAGGTCGGGGAGCACATTGGGCCTACGCGGCTCCTCTTCTTCTTCCTCGTCATCGAAGTCGGCCGTCGCTCTCCTCAACGCCTCAGACCCCGTGGTCCGCGCCTTACCCGCGGGCCGAGGAACGTCACCTTCTTCCTCATTGTCACTTTCCTCGTCGGACGAGGATGCCAGCGGGACTCCTTTTTGTTGTAACCTTTTCTTGGCCGACAAATGTTCGTCCTCCTCACTGCTGTCTTCGTCGCTGCTGCTGTCGTCGCTGCTTTTGCCAAGAGCCGAGGGCTTGATGGTAGAGGAACCGGAAGATGCCTTAGGAGCGGCGGTGCTAGTACTTTGCTGTTGTTGCTCACCCTCGTCGCCGTCGCTTTCTTCGTCTGAGCTTCCAAAAAGATTTTGATAGTCTAGTCGAGAGGCAGCCATTGTGCAGCACCCTGATCAAGGCGGAGAAAGAAATTGAAGTTTTTAAAGTGTGATGTCGGTGAACCACATCTGGTACTTCGGTAGGAGAAACAGGAGTACGAGTACATGACCCGAAGCAAGAGGCACGAGGAAAGTGAGCTAATACGGGTATAATCAGGTATTGGCATATGCCCACCTGAGCGGCAAGACAGAGTACGGACGCGAGAGTAAAGATTTAAGAATAATTAGGAAGATAAAGGTAGGAAGGATAACTATCCTATGAATGTGCTTTAATGCACGCATGCAGTTGCCTGATATGCAATCATCATTTGTTCAAAAAGCGATAGCAGGAGGTTATAAGAAGTTGCTTTAGCTAAAGATGAGAGCGTGCTAAATCCTGGACGAGACATTCTCAATGCGAAGTGCTCAAACACTAGCCAAGAGATGTGATTTGAGGACTTTTAATCGTTGTTAGGTTGATTCTCCCGGCCATCTTTTCTTGCTTTTTCTCTCTCCGTGGTGCCCGATGCAACTTGACGGGCTGTGGGAAAGTCTAAGGACTGCCGACTGACACTACGAAACCCAGACTATCTATGGTTACCTTGAAGAATGTTAAAGGCTTTGCAGATCTATGCTGATAACATGCAGGTCCGTAACTTTTGTCGAAACGATTTATGAGCAGGGTCATCGATCGTGAACATATCGATCGACATTCCCCTTGGAGAAGTCTCAGTTCCATACGCGTTGTGGTAGGCATGGCCACAATTCCTCATACATAAAGGAAAATACTATTTGACCATGTATTTGAATACATATATATACGCGAGGGCTCGTCCTTCTTGCTCATATTTGCTACCGTTCGACGCAAGCAGGCCGATGGGCAAGCACGACAATCGTGATAATCGTCATCACAGTGAAGAAAAGCGTCGTCATGGTAACAGAGATGACGACGACATCGTGCGACAGGATCATGAGCAGCGAAAGAAGGGGAAGAAACGGAAGCGGGAGGAAGAAGTGGAGATAGAAGCGGGGTCCCTCTCGTCGTCCTCTTATTCCTCGGATTCATCTAGTGAAAGCAGCGTGACCTCATCTTCATTAGATTCCCGTTATAGCAAGCGAAAGTCGTCGGAGAAAGAGAAAAATGAAAGGGAGGAAAAAGGAAAAACGAAGGTAAGTAGATCAAAAGGGTTTTATTTTGAAACTGCGTGTTGAACTCGGCAACCGAATGTTATTTTTTCGCCCACATATAGAAAGGAAAGAAGGCCAGGAAGGAGACAAAAAAGCGAAAGCACAAGAAAGACAAGAAAAAAAAGTATGAGAAAGAGGACAAGAAAAAGAACAAAAAGCGGAAGAAAGAGAGTAAACGAAGGAAGTCTTCCTCCCACACGGCGGCCACCAGTAGCGACTCAGAAAGCGATGACGATGCTCCACGTTCTGCAATTTCGGGGAAGAAGATAAAGATGAAGTTGAAGCGAGACGCAGCAGATATGCAAATGGAGAGAGGCCGAAAAGATTTTCTGCGTTTCATGAATTCACAGTTTGATTGACCACTGAGATTAAAGGCTCAAAGTAATGCGGCCCACTCAATATGGATCATTGGAAAATAAATTCAAAAATTGAACCCAAAAACAAAGTATCTTTTTTTTCCTTCGACAATGCGATTTCTTAAATAAAAGGCAAGGACGATAGCACTTGCGGGCCTTGTTTGCCAATTGCTGTTCCCAGAGGCGACACTTCTAACCTCCCACCAAGCATTTCTCGCCGTCAGAAGCTTTGTGTCGTACAAACTGGGTGGACCTTTTGACGCATCTTCGTGAGGATTATTACATGGAAGTAACCTTTACTTGTGTCGCGTCACGTGATCTCTATGCGTACTTATCCATGCAGCAGCTAATGACTGAAGTCTAAAATAGCGAGATCGCTGCCTTTCGCCATGATCGCTCACATAATGCCCTTCAATTCTTACTTACGTTATGCCCACGCTTATTCCAATGAGACAGATGATGCCTTTGTCTACCGATGTGTCCCCGCTTAATGTTGTGTGTGTGGGCTCTGGCATTGCATTTCTTTATGCGGTGCTGGTGGGACTGTGGCGTTGGTGCACATACGAGGCCAGGACCGCTGAGACTTATTTGCGTTTAGCAGCCTTGGCGGCTGCACCATTATTACCGCTGTGCATGTTCGTATTTACAAGCCACAAAAGTCTAGAAGGCTGCAAGTGGCACCTTTTGTTAGCAGCATTGCTGCTGGGATGGGACGCGTACGTGTTGCATCGCATTTGGCGTAACTTCGTCGTAGGGCCCCGTTTCCAGTCCGTGGATCTGCACGGTAAAGTCGCCATCGTCACCGGTGCAAATACTGGAATTGGACGGGAAACGTCCCGTTTTCTTGCGGAAATGGGCGCCAAAGTTATTCTGGCGTGTCGGTCAAAAGATCGAGCGGAAGAAGCCATCCGAGCAATTTTGTGGGAATCAGGTTCTAAAATTAAACCCAGTCAATTAGAATTCTGGCCGTTGGATGTGAGCAGTTTACAGTCCGTTGGAGACTTTGCAGCCGCATTTCAAGAGAAAGCGGGCCACAAGGGATTGGACATACTCATAAACAACGCGGGCGTGATGCTGAATGAGAGGAGGCTCACTTCCGAGGGCCTGGAGGCGACCCTCGCCACCAATCATTTCGGCCATTTCCTCTTGACATTGCTCCTTTTCCCAGAACTTGAGAAGGTCTCGGACGGCCGCGTGGTCAACGTTTCCTCAAGTCTCCACAAAGTCCCCCGCGCTTTCAATTTTGACGACCCTCTGTACGAGTCCAGTGCCTATTCCCTGTTCGGAGCCTACGGTCAGAGCAAGCTCGCCAACGTTCTTTTCACTTTCGAGCTTCAACGACGCCTTGAAGTACTCCAAAGCGACGAAGCAAACAAAGTTGGGAGAAAAGGGGAACGGGGAGGCGGAGATCTGGCGGTGAGGAGGGTCGTAACCGCCAATGCGGTCCATCCGGGCAACGTGCAGACAGAGGTGGCACGAAACATGCCTTGGTACTTGTACTGGGGTCAGAGAATTTGCAGTCCGATTTTATGGTGCTTTTCCAAGAATCCGGCCCAGGGGGCCTATACCTCGGTCCATGTGGCGACCTCGCCGGCATTGCGAGGCATAGGTGGAAAGTTTTTTGTGAATTGCGACGTCACGGGCGACGTCTCTGCGGTAGCGCGAGACCCCTCCGTGGCAGGCCGGCTATGGGCCATGAGTGAAGAAGCGTGCGGACTGACGGCCGCCACAGGAGATGCCACGGTCGGCTCCTCTTCTGTCAACAGCGGCCCTCAGAAAAAGAGGAAAACGAACGCTCCCGCAGGTACCATGAGCAACGGGGATGAGGCCCGCCATACCACTCCCAAAACCAGCTTGAGAAACGTTCGCATAGGGGCAAATGGATCGAAAGGAACAAGCCCTGGAGTCAGGAGGAGTGCTCGTCTCCGTGTTGGCGGGCGGGCCGAGCGAAAAATCGGTTCTAAATAAAGAGCCTGACAATAAAAAGTACTAACCCATGACGATGCACGAGCTGGCATGCCGCACTTCGGTGCGGACATTACAATCTCGATTTTCATTTTTTCGCTATGTTTTTACATCCTTTGAGTCTTGTTACATGCCAATCAACGTTCGGGGCAGTCTGCGCGCCGCCCCATCCGTTCCACCCTCATGGCGGTTCACACTCCAGTGCATCAAGGTGCAAGATGAATTCCCGTCACGGGCTGTCTCGTCATTTGCTAAAATACTTTTCTGAATCAAGCATGGACATGCCAACCTGGCTTTGTCACGTATGCCTCGGGTGATCAATTTTGGCCCAAGAAACTCCAGTCATTCTACAGTACGTATGCTCTTGCCTCCCTCCCATCAGACCAGACTTGTATATTCTTTTCCCCCCTTGAGATGACCGTGCGTTCGCTTCGGTAACCACTCCATGTTCTCTACTTTTTATGAAGCGTAATGCCTAGCACCACTCCCAACACGACCGCAACCAAGATGATCAGCCCGCCGAGCAGGAGTTGATACCTAGTTTTTTGCCTAAACGAGACATCAGAAAGAGAAATGTCAGAGGCTGCATCTTTCTAAATACTTAATGTTTCAAAACCAGGGGGGTGGGGGAGAAAATCGAGCGAGCAAGAAGTAGCCAAGGCCGGGGGGGGGGGCGGAGAAGGCTGATCTACACGTACCACCACATAATTTTCTTCAACGTCGTCGCATTTTTCTTGAAAACCAAGGCGCTGGATTTCAATTCCTCGGAGCGGACCAGTATATCCTCTGTTGCCTGCAAACCCTCCAGAGCCTTGCTGATGTTCACTTGCATCAGCTCTCTCACCCCCTCCACCCCAGCTTGAACCCTCGTCAGCTGGTCCTTCGCTCCCATGTCATCAAAACGCCTCGCTAGGCTCATAACATGCTCACGTACGGCAAAGCGACACCCATCCTCCACACACATCAGGGAACGGTTTCCATGCTGACCCTCGCCCCATTCTTTCGCGAATTCTTCCACTGCCAACAGGGACAGGCGGACCGGGCAGCTTTTCTCGACCGCCACCACGAAGACGCGCGCTTCCTTGTCCATGCCCACATGAAAATTAACAATATCACTGCAAGTTACTTCGCTAAAAAATAATGGACGTTGCTTTGGGGATAGTTGGGCACAACGCTAAATTTTGCGAGGGAGCAGGGTAAAGAATCAGAAAACGCCAAAGTACCAGGAAATAGATTGCTCGAAAATTTTGGCTCACTTCGACTCACATGGAGCTACAGAACAAGTACGGGGAGGTAAACATACCATGGGATCAAAATCTACACGATCTTCCAAAAATTTTTGCTTGCATTGGAGAAAGGTCCTCTTTCATTCAGAAAAGGACAACAAAAGCAGACTGCACACTTACCAGTGCTAAGATCCGTGTTACTCGTTGTAAGAGTTCCTCGGAAATCGCATGCGTGCCTTCACCGACGTAGGTGCCCACTATCACGCCGTCGATGCGGGCCACAGCACCGCCCTACTTCCACGGAGACATCAGGAGCAGTCAGGCACGGCGAGGAACAAAGAGGTAAGTCGAGGGAACCGAAGGCATAAATCTAGTCTATTGGCTCTCACAAAACTCGATTGACATCGAACTTGCCACCTCCACCTTTAATGCTGGATCAATGTCCGCAGGGATGCTACTTCACTTGATGGGAATAAAATACTTCCAGATCAAAGCTCGTCAACCTTGAACGTACCGTCATCCGCAAATTCTTGTCATTGGAAAGCAAGGAATAGTTTGTGGTCGGTAGAGGTGTAGTGTCGGCCATTGATACGATGACGATACCTTCTGGTGGTGCGATGGTTCACAGACGGGGCAGATCGAAGAACACGACGGCCGGCCCAAGCTGAGAAGAACAAGGGAGCGAAGCTTCCGTTGACTCCGGAGACTGAAAATTAGCAGGCAACAAGCATGTATCTGCAGCCTGGCTGTTGTGAGTCTCTGTCAGGAACAAACAAACTGTGATAAGTGCCTCGCAGCAGGAAAAGGTTAAAATTTCCAAGCAGTTTGCGTCACGCGCCATCACTACAGGAGGTGTTTGGATCATTGCCCATCCGGCGCTTCCGCCCCAACCCTCCTTGTCGTTTCATTTTGTCCGCGTCCACGAGCTTTTTTTCGTGGCAAGGATTTCGAAATGAAGCGTGCGCAACCCGCATGTACCACGGAAGTCGGTCAACACATGCAGGCGTGCTAGTGCTGGAGCACACGGTCCCGGCTGCGTGTCCAATTAGGGCGCAGACGGTGTTCTCTTTTCCCTGACCACACAGTCCGCCCAGCGTATGCGTTGAACCTGACCAAGATCGTGCACATGGTGCGGCTCCGCGTCCCTTCCGTCCGCCTTCATGTCACCCCCATCGTTATCACCTCACGCCGTGCGTGCACGGCGGTGTCAACATTTCGAGGCGCGGTCGAAGTGTGCACAGAGACACCGACACAGGCAAAGTCCTTCACCCTTTTTTTTTTTCGTTTTCCGCGATTGCTGTTCGTCCGTTGGGATTGTCCTGACCCTCTGAAGGGAATGGAAAGGGGGCGCCCAAGCCCCTGCAATCACGAGGATGCGTGTGCTGCCAGTTGTTTCATTTGCTTGCTTTCACCTTTTGAAAGGGGAAGGCGCCACTGGGGACCCTTCGTTGTTCATTGTCAGACGGAGAGCTGCACAAGCCTCCAGGAAGCCGTCCTTTGACATCTCTTTCATGATGCCCTAATAAAGCCCCTTCTCCTCTTCCTGTGTCCACATCCAGAGTTACTGAGGCCCAGGTAGTATCCTATCATCCTCTATCTTTCAGTCTTTCCTGAGCCTCCGCCTCCATCATGTCGGCCAAGGCGATTCGAGAGTACTACGGGAAGCAGCTCATCGCGCGCTGGCTCCCGGAGTACAGCAATGGGCGGCACACAACCGACAAGAAACAAGTCCTTATCACGCCCGATGTGTTGGAGCCGACGAAGGGTCAGAGTTTCGAAGTGATCGCACAAGCGAACCCGTGGTTGTTGAAGGAGAAATTGGTGGTGAAACCCGATCAGCTCATCAAGCGCCGTGGGAAGGCCGGTCTGCTTGCTGTGAACAAGACCTGGGAGGAAGTTCAAGCGTGGATCTTGGAGCGAATGCAGCGTGAGGTGCAGGTGGAGCAAGTGAAGGGCGTCCTGAACCATTTCATCGTGGAGGCCTTCGTTCCGCACTCCCAAGATGAGGAGTACTACTTCTGCATCGTGTCCAACCGGGAGGGGGAAGAGATCCTCTTCACGCACGAAGGTGGTGTGGACATTGGAGACGTGGACGCCAAGGCCTTGCGCATTCAAGTGCCTTTGCAGGAAGAGCCGAACCCCGAGGCCATCAAGGCTGCCCTCTTGGTGCACGTGCCTGCGGCCAAGCAAGATTTCCTCGCCACCTTTTTGGAAGGAATCCTCAAGCTTTACCGTGCGCTCAACTTCGCCTACATGGAAGTCAACCCCTTGGTGGTGACTGGGGACGGGCGCGTGGTTCCTCTGGACTTGGCAGCGAAGATCGACGAGACAGCCTCCTTCCTGTGTGGGCCCCAGTGGGGACACGTGGACTTCCCGGCCCCCTTCGGGCGTCGCGAGTTCCCGGAAGAAGCCTACATCCGCGAGCTCGACTCCAAGACCGGGGCCTCGTTGAAACTGACCGTCCTCAACCCTTCGGGGCGGGTGTGGACGATGGTGGCGGGCGGTGGGGCCTCCGTGGTGTACGCGGACTCCATCGCCGACCTGGGCCAGGGGCACGAGCTTGCGAACTACGGCGAGTACTCGGGCGCCCCCAACGAGCAGCAGACCTTCGACTACGCCCGTACGATTTTGAGCCTGATGACGCGGATGCAGGACCCGCGCGGCAAGGTCTTAATTATCGGCGGCGGGATCGCCAACTTCACGGACGTGGCGGCTACCTTCAAGGGCATTATTACCGCCTTGCGGGCCTTTCAGGAGGAGCTGCGCGAGCACAATATCACCATTTGGGTGCGTCGTGCAGGCCCTAACTACCAAGAAGGGTTGCGTATCATGCGGGAGCTGGGACAGGAAATCCGTGTGCCCATCAAAGTGTACGGTCCCGAGACACACGTGACCGCCATCGTCCCCC